AAATATAATTAATAATGTGCTTTTTATTTTCAATCATTTATTTTAGTTTTTATATTAAGGATTTTTTTAAAATTAAATAATTAACACGTTTAGTTACGTAATATTTACCATGCCACGCTTTTGTAATATACATAATGTAAAGCAACCGTTTTTCCTCGCTTTTTCTGCATTTTCTGAATTATTATAAGATCCATCCTTTATTTCTGCATAAGTAATCAAATCAGCTAAAAAATAATTATTATTATAAGTTTTTATTATAAGATATAAGTATATATTTTATTATATTTTATTACACTTATCTTATTTTAGTTATTATGTTATAGAAATCCCAATAAAAAATTTTTCATGTAAAATCATATATATTCATATATGTATATTATATGTAAATTTTTTAAAACGTTTCTAAAATTGTTTATTTTAATTTATTGTAAAAAAACATTTGTCAAATGTTAATTTCAAAAATAATTAAGATTATATATAATTAAGATAATAATTATATATTTTGAAATAAATATGTATGATAAATATGTATAATAAATTTAATATGTATAATAATAAATTTAAATAAATATGTATATAATTAAATTCTAGAGATTTTACCTTCCTCTAATTTCGAGTTATCATAACATGCTTGTACATCTTCGGAGGATAATGTTCCGCCGTGTAAAGCTGTGTCTGCGATAGTGCCTGCATAAACCATCATCTGAAATCAATATTGTTATATGAACCATAACACCTACAATAAAAATATAGCTTAGATAGAGTTTTAAAAATCGCATAATAATAATTTAATATCGCGATTAAATATATACTTAAAATATTAAATTGTGATTAAAATATATTTATTAAATATATTTATTAAATATATTTATATATAACTTTTATGATATGATCATTATATAAATATATGTAAATATATATTTAGAAGATATATAAATAAATATCCATGCTTTTAATGAAAGGGAATATATATTGAAGAGTTTTTTTATTTCTTGTTTGTTTTTAAAAGAATGTTGAATTAAGAAAAAGATTTTCGATGAATATAATTTAATAGAATTAATATATAATTATAATTAATATATTAATATATAATTTAATATAATTTAATAGTAATATTTAAGAAATTTAACTTCGCTGAAGTAACTCGTTATCTTTTACTTGTCGAAATTAATAATATAGATACAGATATGTAGATAGCACTTTGAAAAAATAAAATATTTTTTTATTATTTATGAATAATTTGTAAAATATGATATTTTTATATTTGTAAAATATAACAAAATGAGAAATATTGGTAAATATCGACTGAATGATCGAAGAATAAAATTAAAGTCACTATATGACTATTAAATTTTGTATGTTTATTAAATTTCTATTGAATGATTGTGTTTGGTAGGAAATCTCTTTTAGATTAAAAAATAATAATATCTATGTTTTATTCATTATAAGATTATAGTAATTTAGTTATGAATCAACACTTTTGAGTTTATATGTATAAATCATTTCTTTGATTGAAAAAATATTTTACTTATATTTAGTAATGAAATAATAATAATAATTAGTTGCAATGCTAATGTTCAATAACAATATAATAAAGAAAATATTTTAGATTAAGAATCTACAATTTTTATTTATTTTTTTTTATTTGTCACATTAATTGTAAAATATAACAATTTGTTTACAATACAATGTAAATTTGAGACGTATAATGATTTTTATTTTTTTAATTGAATAGTATTTTAATTATGGCAAAATAATAATTCAGTTGCGATGTTAATATTTATTAAAAAAATCAATCACAATTACTTACAGCAGTTGCCATCAGGCAAATGGATAGTATGAGGAACTTCATGATTTTTCTTTTACTAGTGAGACGCTTTCGATACGCAGTGTTTTATGAACTGACGCTGTGCTCTGATATAAACCCCTACTTATATGTGCCATGCGAAAGCTAAATATGGCAATCGGAGAACAGGAAAAAATATTATAGGAAATTTTCCGTCGATCATCATGACATGCGCATAGAAAAAATAATAGGAAATAACAAGAAGATAACGGGAAAAAAAACCTATACTCATGCAATTAACAGATTAAAGAAATTGCATATTTATTCTATCAGAACTTTACATAAATCAAAACATACTTATAAAAAATTTACTAATTTACATTAATTGATCGTAAAATATTACAATTCTTGATGATGCGATGATTAAAATAATTTTTCAGAAATTTGACATTTTAATTACGATTTAAAAATTGAAGATAATTTATATTTTTTGTAACATTCTACTAAATTAATACACATTATAACGTTATTATTTTCTTAGTTTTACACCTAAACAAATCGAAAACATTATTCTTTTATTAATTTTACAGTTAAATAATTTGAATTTTCTAAGCTAGTTATTGAAGAAATTTACAAATTATGTATTTTATTTTGAAAAATTTTTCATCCAAACTTTAAAAATTTTTGAACACATTAAGAAGCATAAAATATTGATTGCTATTTAAAAATTTAAATTTTATTATTAATATTCTTATAACTATCAATAATCAGTATTATTTAAAACAATTTTTTAAAACATCTTAAATTATTAAAAAAAAAATTAAAGTTATAAATTTGTTTATTTGAAAAATCTGAATATTTAAATTTTGTTTAAAAATTTCTAATCATGAAAAGTTTAATGACTTTAGGACATTGAAAAAAAGTTGCAAAATAAATATGATATGTTACTATCTTTAAAACCAATCACCTTGGGGTATTTCCCGCATTTTTAACTCCTGATTAACTCCGACTCTACGTGACCCTGTTCATGAGCAAATAGCGATAACTTCACTTTGTGTTCTCAACATGTTTCAGACACTATTAGTAAAAAGTGACTCATAGAGTATTGTTTCATAACAAAGACTGAACAAAACTTGATTACAAACTTATATTCTGAAACAATCTATTACATATTTGCTCTTATATTTATAATTATAAAGTTTTTGTATTAAAGTAGCAAATAAGAAGAATAAATGTGACAAATTTTTGAAATAATTCGAATAATTTTGTATTTAAATTCTTTTCTTAATTTATTATTAAAATTATAATATTATTTAATATTTGATCAATATAAAATAAATATCATTTAATTATATTAATTATATTAACAATATATTAAATTATATTTTATATTATTATCATATTAATATGTTATTAGGTTGTATAAGTAAATTATCAAAGCTGTATTTAACTAATTTTTTTTATTTAATATTAGCAACACGATTTATTGTGAATCTACAAAATGGCATTTTATTTGGCTTAAACCCCGATGTGAAAATTTTTTCTTTATTATGCTATCATTGCATAGTATATATAAGAAATAATAAAATTTCTGATTTAGAATATGTAAAGTATTGTGCGAATCTTCGTCACCATTTATCTTCTATCTTCCTTCTGACTGCTTATTACACAAATCGTCATGCCGAATACTCTATCTTCCTTAGTCATTTCATTATCTTCGTTCACTGGAATAATTAAAGTCAAGTCATTGAAAATGCTGTGGAAAAATTATTATTCATTTCATGCAAAGTAATATTGAAATATCAATTTCTGATTTATAGAAATACGATTTATAGAAATATTAAATGTACACATTCGAATTTTAGAACTAATTATTATTAAAATATAGTTATAAAATTAAGAGAGAGAGAGAGAGAAAGAGAGAGAGAGAGAGTATGTTATTTTGAGTTTACTCACTTGAAGTTATGCATTCTGTTAATACTTTCTTATCGATAGGCTTTAATTCGCCATCCTTCACGATTTGTTCAACTAACTCGTCAACTTTAAATTTTGAATTTTCATCCATCTAAAATGAAAGAAACAAATGCAATACATCATATGCATTATCCATTCATGTATTAAAATAATTAATTGTAAAAATAAAAAATTAAGGTTTAAATAAAATAATATTAATTGTTTATGTCATAAAAATAAGGATTAATATTTTATAATAAAAATATATATATAGAAAAATAATAATTATTCAGCTCACTGTAATTATTACCAGGACTTTATATATTCAACAATTATGTATTAGTATAGTTAATGCAAATTATTACCATGCCAGTCTTCTGTAACATACAAGCCAAGAAAGTCATATAGTTCGCAGCAGCCTGTTTGTCCTCTTCAGTGAGTTCTTCTGCTTTCAAGTCTTTGAATTTCTTCAGTGAACTTGTTATATCCTCTGAAAAATTATGAAAACATTTTTTTCATTTCTTATAAAATTTTTAAGAACATTTTTATATAAACATTTGCGTAAGAAAAAAATATTATATTTAAATGTGTTGAAGTTATATGAAATTATTTAAGAATTTATTCTATTAAGAATATATAATTCTATTAAGAATTTATTTCTAAATTTATTTTAGAAATATTTAAATATTATAATAATAGATTTCACACTTTTCTGTATTAATTTTAATTTTTTTTATAAGCTCTATATTATAAAATTTGAAATTAAAATTTTAAGAACACAGAGTTATAAATTTTGAGTTGAAGTTTGAGTTCGATAATAATAATAAAATAATAAAAATAAAATGATAATATGTAATAAGAATTTTTTCTACTTTTCAATTTATTTATACGTTTTTGAATAATTTACCTATCTTTAATTCAGCCTCGTCCAAACATGTCTGCACTACCTCCACCTTGGTCTCCATTTTATCTGCTATATCTTGTATATCATCTGCAGTTACCTAAAATAATTATATTATATTTTATATATAATGTTATTAATGTAATATATTTTTTGGATTAAGATAGAAAAAATACATTTAGGATGATCTAATGTAAGATCGAAATGCTTGGAACCGATTATACATATTATTTAAAATTTTGATATTTTTATATTTATAGATCTAACAGTATAGCAGATCTTGATACCCAAGATAATCTTGGCTTACATGCACTCATTTTATAATTTTATTTTATCACGCTTGAATTCGTTTAAATAATGATTTTTTTTTATTATCGATTGCAGTTATATTTAACAAAATTAAATTGCGTACAATTTGATATGAAATGATCTTAAATTGTAATGAAAATGTTAAAATAGTGTATCAAATATTTCACTTTTCATGCATTGTTTCCTTAACAGCAGGTCAACTTGAAATCAATTTATTAAGAGGGAGAATGAACTTAATAAATTTAATCAATTTTACGTTTGGAATAAAATTGAAATGAAATTCCAGTTTGAAATTTTCTGATTATTAAAGTATATAATAAAAGAAACGTTATAAATGATAATTTATGTTTACATATTAATACAATAAGTGTTATTTTTATGCATGTGAAGGAATCTAATAATTAAGTTATATGAAAGAAAAAAAAAACGAATCGTTTTATTTAATTTATTTTATTCAAAAATTTAAAAAATTAGAGAAACGTCAATGAAAATCAATTACACTTACGAGAGCAATGAGCGCTAGAACGAACAGCGCAATTCTCTTCATCTTTTTACGTTTGATAGGAACGAATTTCAACAAAGTTAATCCGGCAACTGGCTGCATTGTATTTCTATGGCTCATATTTATATTGATGTCTTAGCGTTGTGTGATCTTACATCATACGAGAGACAATTCTACGTTTGTGTGTATGCAATGTATGTGTATGCATGCGGAAGATTTGCGGAAGTGCGATTGGTATAATTGGCCGGCATATCAGATTTGCATAAGTTTCGATGGCGTCGCAATATTACGCGATTGCAATATTGTTTCGTGTCTGCATATGTGTGTGTGT